AGGGCTGATCCTACTTCCCAGGTAAGTGAAGTGGTTAACACACTCAACCACTTCACTCTCTATTGTTAGCCATGGCACCGTCAAAGACTAACTCTGGAGTAACAATTTGCATTTGGATAGTGAGAAACGTATACCAAACATTCTCAAATTGCTACCCAAAGTGTTCGGAAGACTCCGCATCTTGTCAGCGTCTTCACCTAACAGGACTATGTCATCTGCATATTCTAGGTCTAACGAAAATTCTACACCGATTAGGTCAACGTCTGTGTAATCAGGCGACGACAGGGAAACATGCATAAGAATACCTATGATAAAAGTGAATAAGAATGGAGAGAGTGGGCACCCTTGATGGACACCACTCGATGAGTACGTTTATCGCAATCTGATGTTTGTGTCAATCGTCGGTTAGAAGTAGGAGCATCCCATACGAGACAGTCTCTCTCCTTATGCCCAGAGTTAGTAATGACCAGCAAAAAACGATTGTCGCAACAAAATTGCAACAGACAACCATCGTTGTCAGTTCGTTGGCATCCGATTCCGTAAATACCACCAACATCTCTATCTTTCCAGCTTCCTTACTTGTGCGTTAAAGCCACCTGTAATTATGAATACATCTCAACGACTAGCTTCCTGTAGCAAAATTGACAGCTTCTCTTAGAATTCATCCTTCGCATCATCCGAGCTACAGTCGGTGGGTGCGTAAGCAGAGATTACAAATGGGTATCACTTAGTCTCACGATCCTTCCTACTCCTAATACATGCATTCAGTCGAACAACATAAACAGCTGTCGACTGCTATCTAAACAAGAAGCCCACTTTCTGCTACACAACCCAATCGTTTCCCTACGCCAGCGAGTCCACAACAGCTAGCCATTGAGTTTACGGATACTCAGAAGGTGAATTTCGAAGATTCACTACTATGGTCAAGTGGCCAAGTGGTCGATTTAATAATCACACTCGATTCCCGTATACAGCGTCTTAGAGACACAGCATACATCCATGACTAGTGATTCTACAGTTCTGACGAGCGATGCTTGCCGTCCGGTTTCGCATGGAGTTCACAAGTTGAAACCTCATACATGAAATCAATGGCAGGATCTTAGGAGACTAGGAATGAGGTTTCTGTGACTTTCATCGTTCGCAATGGCCGCAGAGTGAGAGGTTACAGAAGGCGTAGGAGACTTAATATTAACATCATGAGCTGAAGACAAAGGAGGAAACCGATTTGAGGCGGACAGGTTATGTTTGATTTGGTCTCGTGTACAACTGGAAGCGTGGGCGTGGTTGACAATTCACCGCTGCTCACACCGTGGAAGGTTATTTCTTCTTAAGGTGCCTGAAAGACAAAAAGGACTTGTATGACCACAGAGCTCACTAGACATTTGTTTGAGGCTTGAAACAGACAGTCTTTTGTGGGATGTCGTTTTGAGGACTGCTCGTCCTAACGTTGGATCGGAAAAATCCTTACTGCCGGCTGCGGAAGACCACGGGGCAGACGGGGTGTGATTTTGGGGTTGACCTTTTCTAAACGCCTGTTACCGTGGCGAAAGCAGCATCAGCAAGGTACTGCTGGCCATTCAAGAGGAACATACTATTGTTGTTACACCCCACCGAGATAGCAGCAGTACGACTTCGCCCCCAGACTCCGCCATAGTATGGGTATTGGCACTACAACGGTAACTGCAGTTCGTCCTACCACTATCCGAAAGACCCTTCTATCGTGGTGGGACCTGAAGTGAACAAGCGTTCCACCAGCATAGCTCGTTGGGTCATAGTGATATGCAAGCCCAACCACCGCGTCAAAGTAGAAGCTATCCGTCGGGTTTTGCTAGTTAAGACTTCAGTTAGGCTAACTAATAACGCACAACCACCGTCCTTAAATATCTCTAGTACTAGCGCGTCTCGCTCTGCTGCCCTTCATTGCATCAGGTTGCTTCTCGACATCTGCAAGTGCTAGTGGTCATAGTTCGGTGTTTTATTCAGGATCCGACTGAACTGTGGATAACGGAGTAGTAGCAGGAGGTCAGTTCCCCCATTGCTCGCAGTTACCTCAATCATTCCTGTCGTATTCCCTACGACTGGATCTTTCTATAGTGTAGTCTCGCTGATCATTGGTATTTTCGCCCAGGTTTTCTTTATCAGTCTCAATAACTTTCTAATGCTACATATGCCGCTACCTTTTCCATATCCTTACCCTTCGCTGCACATTACTGTTCGTGGTCATTACGCAGACATTTTGTCAGCCTACATTTGAGTTACTTCGGCTTTTTATTGTGTTCGGAGCCTGCAGAAATGCGTTCATGTTCATCCCCTTATTCAGAAACTGCTGAGATCCACTGACACTCTTTAACCACTCTTTGAGAGTCAACTACAGTCTTTGACGCTGTCGTTAAAGCACACTGGAGATGGTTTCAGACTTCTTCTGCATGAATGATGTTGTTCTATCCCGATAGCTATCTAGTCAGTTTTTCATTGATAGCAATCTTAGCGCTCTTATTGTCGAATTGCATTCACAATGGTATTGTTGCCATAGCTTTTCTATGCAGACTGGCACGCGCTCGAACCAACGTGTTGTTGTTGTTGTCCAAATACGTTCTCCAGAGGGAGTGGCAACCTTTTATCAACACTGTAGAGATAACTGATAGCAATATGGTCTACTTTTATCCATCACTGAGGTCGATGAACGCCAAATCAGACAGTTTTACCTTATTTCTAAATTTTGTGCTGACTAGGGAGAAATGGTTACCGGTGCGCAGTTGTAGCAAGCGAACGCCATTAGCCGCCCGTTCGCCTGGGATTCCATAAATACCGCTTACCTACCTGAAAGCTTATCCGCCTGAGCATTGAGATCACCTGCAACAAATACCACGTCTGGACGTTTGGCTGTCAGTAGGAGGCTAGGCAGTTTTCGGTATAACATCCTCCACTTCATCCGGACTGCAGTCAGTGTAAGCAGAGACTACAAAGAGAACGGCGAGTTTCACCATTCTTTTTAGTCTTCACTATACTGTTCAGTAGAACAGCGCATAGGCAACTGTTAACCGGAAACCAGTGCAGCAGTGCACTTTCTATCTTAGTGCCTAATGCTATACCTACACTTGCATGACAACGAGAACGAGTCATCCAGTCTTCAAATCTTGGACGGTGAATTCTGTGGACTCACCATACTGACTGGGAGAGGTTAAGTGAATAACCACATTTGGGTCCTGTATGCGCGTTTCACAAGCAAAACACATCCATGGTTCAAGATTTTAGAACCTAAGTTAGTGAAACTTGTTGGGTGATACGATGCATAGTGAGGACATTGAAAGCCACAGTGTGTAGTTTACAGCACAGTTGTAGGGTACCAAAGTTGTTGTTTTGTGAATTTAGATCATTCTCAAGAGCTCAAGAGCTGGAGAAATAAAAGATTAGCGACGAAGAGACATGAAGGAAAATTAGAAGCTAACAATGTGGAAGGTGAGCAATGATCGGAGAGGACTTAAGTGCCGACAGAGTTGTAACGGCACGTGATACTTCGGCTGCCCATGGCGTGGGAGGCTTTTTATTCTTCAGGTGACTGAAAAAGAGGGGTTGGTGTGACGACAGAGACCAAGGGAAATCTGCTTAAGGCCAGATACAAACAGCCTTTTTCAGAAGTTTGAGATCTTAGTTTTTTTCGAAACCAACTACGAAGCCATATCGTTGGAACCGGTATGCAGCGGGGCAAGGAGTGTACTATTTAAAGGGTCGATCTTGCCTACCCCCCACCCCCAATTCCCACAGAAAGGCAGCATCAACATAGCCCTGCTGGTCATCTACGGTAAACACCTTACTGCTGTCATACACCCATCTGGTCAGAGTTTGACTTAGCCCTCGGACAATCAGTGTAAGAACTGACACTATAAATTTAACTGCCTTTTGTCTATTTCTAACAGACCTTTCAGATATAGTACAACCTCCAAGGAACAAGCATTTTATCAGCACAGCTTGTTGGGTCATTGCTCTATGCAAGCCTGACTACTACGTCAAGGTAGCAGCAATCGGTCGAGATACTGCTTTAGTGATGCATCCAAAATATCCATATCTACGAATTGATTCAGCTGCTTAGATAAATACGTACCTGTCTCATAAGAATAACACTACCTATATACAGGAAATATTATTGACAATTATATACTACATGAGTAAGCCCCTAGTGACATTGTTTGCCGATGCTGAAATACGGAACGCCATCTGTAACAAGATACACAGATATACATTAGTGAATTTAAATGAACCAGTAATATGACTCAAGCGTCAGCGTTTAGAAGCTACTTCTAGCATATTCGTAGCCATACATATTGGTAATGGCAGTGTCACCAGTATATAAGATAGGACACCAGTATCTGACGTCCAAATAAATTTAAGACTTGGAATAGTCAGTTATGACTTGGAGACACCTTCAAAGTGCACTGAAGTCGTAGCAAAAGGTTTTCGGGTATTTTAGTCTTTTCACGATGTTAAGATGCTTTGAGGGACGCGTTTCGGATATCCTGTCCCATGTTTATGCCATCCCACCTTGAATATTGTATTCATTCCCGGTCCTCATATTACAAAAGGTGTCAAATCAATGGAGTGCATTAGGACGTGGCACTAATTTGATGGTTAGTTGAACTAACTTATCCCACGAAGGACGTTTAGAGTAAATAAATCTTTTCTCATTCTACATTACAGGAGAAGGGCGACCAAATATTTGCAGTTCACATCCTTAACCACGAAATCAGAAGTGATGAGTCGTATAAGAATGTCATAATAAAATTCCAAAGCTATGATCGAACCAATGTAAACTTCTCATATGAAGTGGTCAGCGACCGAAACGCGTTAATCAAGAAAGTATAATTAGCTATTACCGTAAACGTATTCCCAAATAAATCATATGTATACAGAGAAACCTGCTGCAACCATTAACACAGACAGAATTAACTGAACATCCTGATAACTGAAGGCTCCACTTCTTATATTAGGAGCATTTCACTCACCTGTTGCAAATTCTGCTCAAACTGCTTATTTTTCATCAAGTTTTCTTTCTGTTCGTTAAAGAGATCGTAATATTTTTGACAAATAAAATCAAATTTTTCATCATTAGAAGTGTTTTGGGGTAGCTCCTTAAGTGTGGAATCTGTAGGCTAAATTAAGGCGTTTCTGATGCTCTCACCTATAAATTTGGTTCGCCTTCTTTTCTGTTTGCTGTTCTGCATCACTTCCGCATCCTGTGAAGCTAAAACATCACTAGAATCAATCATCTATAGATAATGTAACGACCAGTAGTTGATACGTTTTCGTCTGAACTATAGGTAGGTACGTTGCAGCAGGGGGGGGGGACGTAGAGCAGTGTTTGGTGGTGACCACGAGAATCTTGAAAGGAAAAGAGAAAGAGAGGTGAACCGACGACTCAGAAAATACATAGGCTGTACTTACATTTAATAATTAAAGATAGCCGACAAAGTGTAGAGCTTGATAACGAGGAGGTGAGGCAGCGTAGAGACAGAAAGTTCAGTGCGAATAAGATTTCGAATGCGCTACAATAAATGCCAGTAACGCTAAATCAACGTTTCCCGCACCACTGAAATACAATGTCCAATTTTTGCTTACCTTCAAACAGTGTTGTAGTTTGTGAAGACCAGTTGTTGGTAAGTTTTCGTCTAGCCTGTAAATAGATACGTCGTTGCAATGGGCTCACAGAGAAGTTGAGTTTGGTTGTGGCCACGAGAATGTGAAAAAGAAAAAAGGAAGAGAAGAAAGGTGAGCCGACGGCTCAGCAAGTACATAGAACGTACTAACACTTAATAATGAAAGATAACTGACAAACGGCAGGGCTGGACAAAGAAGAGGTGGGGCAAAACTCTAAAGTGAATAAGCAAGACTTTGAATGCTCTACAGTTACAAAGAACAGTTGTTGCTTGAATCCTACGCCTCCAACATCTAACACCCAACATCATTAGTATGAGTAGAGGAAATTTGCAGTTTTTAAAGCTTTCCCTTCTACCTCTTGAGTCTCGGTTATTTTTGTTCAGTTGTACTTTTTCGGTGGTCGTAGAAGTCTGCTTTTTTCCTGCTTATAATTTTGTCCATTTAAAGGTATTTTGTTTGCAAATTGGAGCCTGGTTTGTTTTAAGGGGGCAACCGAGCTGTCAACAAGACCAATTAATAGTTTGTAGCTCCTGTTTTTAGAAGCTCCTGTAAGTAAATGTTAAGCATTACTTAAAAGGTATCTGTCGTTATAAAGAAGTTCTTCTATTTAACATCAACCATAGTTAGTGTGAACCTCGCCTGGTTATCTAGTTCATTAGTTACCAGCTCGTCCTAAGCCCGGGTAAAGAAGGAAGGTTGGGCATAGGGCTAGCAACCCTACCCCGTAAAACAAACCCAACCACTAACGAAACTTCAAACCACAAACAAAATAAAAAATAAAAACAATATTATTCCTCACAGGAATCGGAGAGGCGAAATGACGCCAGTTGGTGAAAGCCTTCAGGACGTAAATTTGCCGCTGTGTCTTCTCTCCCTCAATGAAGGCAAAAGTAAGAATGGGGACATGGAATGTCCGTACCCTGTTTGAACCTAGCAAGGCTGCCCACATTGCAAACGAGATGAGAAGATATCACATGGAAGTGCTGGGAATTCGCGAAAGCAGATGCAATGGAAGTCGACTCTCCAAACTGTCAACTGAAGAATCAATAATCTACTCCGATATTGTCACCCAGACGACAACCATCAGCACATTGAGTTTTCGAGTGGCCATCTTAATGTTCCAACAGCATCGAACGCTCTCTCTCATGCAGTGGGAACCAATCTCCTCCTGCAGAATCATGACAGCAAGGCTCAACTCAAAAGAAGGAAAGTCACAATCATACAATGCTACGCTACGCACCTACAAATAGTGCAGATGAGGACAAGAGAAAAAGGAGGAATTCTACAGACAACTTCAATCAACACTGGACAAGACCACACCTCAGCTGGCGATATCAAAATTCTAGTGAGCGATACGAATGTCAAACTGGGGTCGGACAACACAGGAAGAAAACTGATCACGGGTCGAGAGGTGCTCGGCGAAATGAACGAGAATGGAGAGTTGTTTGCAGATTTCTGCGCATTCAACGACTTGGTGATTGGAGGCACTGTGTTCAAGCACAAGGATATCCACAAAACGACATGGGTTTCACCAGACACTAGCACACACTGAAAATCAGATCGGCTTCATCTCAATATCAAGAAAGTGGAGACTCAGCTTACTGTACACAAGATCAGATGAGGAAGGGGAGCAGATGTAAGTTCGCACCACTCACCATCTATTGCAAGGAACCTTCAAATCAACTTGAAAGCCTTCAAGGAAGTTGGTGATAGACCACAGTTCAAGTTCAACACCCACAACAGAAACTGAAGGACGAAACTACAGAGAAAATCTTCACGGCAGCCATCAAGACTAAATGGGTGATATCGAGGAACATCCCCTGAAGAAACCTGTGTGGATGAGCACTGGAACTCTTTGAAAGCTATGTGGAAGGAAACCTGTACAACCGTATTAGGAAGGAAGAAGAAAGAAGATAAGCAATGGATCTCGATGGACACATGGGAGCTGGTAGAGGAGGGGGAGGAGGATGATGAAGCAGAAGATAAACCAGTGCAAGGATGAACGACGAGAAGAGGAACTGAGTGCAATCTATAAAACACTGGAGAAAGAAGTGAAGAAGAGTGGGCGCTATGACAAAATACACTTCTACGACGCACTCTTAGGTGTAGCAGATCAGGCTGCAGGTAGAAGATATCTAACAAAATTATATCAAATAACCAGGTTACTATGTGGGAGGGGAAAGATCAGCACTGATGAAACCCATAAAGTATGAAGAAGGAAATCTAATTACCAAAAAAGAGAAACAAAGGGAACGATGGGGTGACCATCTCAAGAAGCTTTTGAATCGACCACCACCTGCAACTCGTCCAGAAATACCACCTGCAGCCAAAGAGCTACCAGCGAACACAAATCCTACAACAAAAGTCGAAGTCCTGAGCGCCATAAAGCTACTGAAATGAGGGGGAGCAGCAGGAGCAGATGGAATTCGCCAGAAGCATTGAAGTAGACGCAGAGACAACAGCGGACATGCTCACAACACACCACTATTGCAGAAGGTCCGGGAGGAGGGAAAGGTACCTGCAGATTGGAAGAAGAAGAGCTACCTTATGGAACTCCCAACGAAGGGAGACCTCAGTTTTTGCAAGAACTGGTGAGGAATCACTCTCCTGTCCCACACAACCAAAATATTATGCCATATCATCCTGGAGAGACCAAAGGATGCGCTACACTCAAAACCACGACCGGAACAGGCTGGCTGGATTCAGGAGGTACAAATCATGTGCCGACCAAATTGCAACGCTACACTACGCATCGTCATAGAACAGAGTACAGAATAGCAGTCAATTCTACTTCGACTTTATCGACTTTGAAAAGGCCTTCGACAGCACCAACCGAGAAGCAATTTGGCGGTTGCTTCAACACCATGGAATACCATGTAGCGTCACACGCTTCCCCAAAATCAATAGCTTAGGGTTTGACGACTTTCGACATTGATGCTGACCTTGATAGTTTAACTGGACACGCTAAGCTGAAGGCACCCGGTCAAGCATCCTCGCCATTTGGCATGCTGTCGTGTTACGTTGCACTGCTAATATTCGGCTCTCCAGCCAGTTAGTTGGAACGCATCGGTATTTTGGCATAACCATCCAAATATACTATTCCATCCGACTACGCTATCGTGTTCTACCTTGGTCTCGTATTCGTGGGTATATAACAAGTTCGAATAATTAGTGATTGGTCTTTGCGTCTGTCAAGTTCGCACCAGGACAAATCCTAAAACCACAAACGTTTATCAACCTCATTTAACAACTTCATGAAGACGCCATATGCCAAGTAATTCACAATGGGAAGCTCAGTGATACTTTTAAAGTTAAGATAGGAAGGAGCAAGACAAGGCTGTTTACTATCCCTCAATGATATTCCTGATTGTGGTCGACTGGATCGTGCAGCAAACGGTGAGGAGCGAGAAGAGGGGGATACTCTGGATCGGGGAAAACATCCTGGGAGATTTGGATTTCGGTGATGAATTGTGTCTAATGTCATACACACTTGAAGATCTACAGGCGAAAACTGACAAGTTGACAGAAGAGACACAGCAGCGAAGACGAGACTTCAAGTGAACGTAGAGAAGGCGGAGGTGGTGAAGACACTCAACCACCACCACCAACAACAACAAGCTCCGACCACCATCAACGGGTGAAACTTGAAAGAAGTAGTCTCTTTCACCTATCTAGGCAGCACTGTTTCAACTACAGGCGGCACAGGCACAGACGAGGATGTCAAAGTCAGGCAGGATCGGAAAAGCAAGACAGGCGTTCACTAACCTGAAACTAGTGTGGAGATCTTCTTCACTCAGTAAATGGAATAAGATCCAGATTTTCAACACCGACGTCGAGTCAGTGCTTCTATGTGATTGTTCAGAGACTTGGCACGTTACGAAAGGGATTTCCAGCAAACTACAGACATTCGTCAACAACTCCCTACTCCGGCTCGATACTGAAGATCAGATGAATCACCACAGTCATTTCTTATGCAACCGATTTCATTTATTATTTGTTAATGCCCGATTTTTTCATCATTATAAATGTAACAGTGAATTTCTCCTCACAAAGAGACTATGACTGAGAATTCTCAAGCTTTTGTCTGATCATGTTAGGGCAGAGCTTATTGCGCATCCGCTTTTATTTAGTGTGTGGCCACCAAACTAGGAGACACGCTATCATAATGCAAACTGGTAGAAACTGGGTGGTGGGAAGCAATCACCAAAATGGCCTGTTCTACAGATCCCAAGTAACTTTTTCGGAATAAAATCAGCCTAGAACTACTAGTACAGTTTTACTCAAAAACGTTATCGAATCCACCCAGTTGAGATTTCAATTAACAGCGAGTGTAAGAAGAGTTAGATTTTAAGTTCTCAGTCTCTGTTGATCACAAATTCAGTCCAATCAGTCATCTAATTTTTGAAAAAAGTAACCTCGATCGTCCTCGTAATCTTCACATTGAGGCGTGTTCTTTTATTATAAATTTGTATTCACCTTGAGTGAAAGTATTCGTTTGCGCACTTCATACCATAAACCACACAAAGAAGAATGAGGTGATTATTACGAGGAGTCGCGAATATGTCTGAAGGCGGTAGACGTGAAATTATTTCAGCGACTGAACACCAGAAAAAAAGTTGTAAAACGTCTGGTGATTTAATCCTCATTGCTACACAGTCACATAGTCACATTTTATCAACGTGTGTCATGAAAATTATGCTACAGGTGTGAGCAGACAAAACTGAAGTAAATTATACCATGTCATCAACACTGTGAAATCTCACTCACCCACTGGTGTGAATGCACTATGCGGATAACTTTCTACTTGTTAAACAGTGAAAATATGAAATTATTCTATCGATCAGTCAGGCATATACTGTGATCACCGATCATGTACATCATGGTCCTTGTGTTTACCTGAGGTAGAGATTTTGGCCAAATACTTGGTAAGTGTAAAAGGCGGTAAGATAGCAGAAGGTACGTTGCAACATCAAGATGCACACAAAGTACAACGGTATGTACATATGCACAGTGGTCTCGGCCATTTCTAGGCCTTTCTAGAATACTATACCCCATTGAATTTCACCTGTTCTCCAACAACCTGGTATTCACACGTTGGTCCACGCGCTCTCCCTCTCTCACTCACTCAAAATTTCGGTGCAACGCGATTGGTTATGAATGGCGTTAGGGATGTAGGGCATTTTATGGAGATCATGACAATCTTATTGCACTGGATAACAAAGAACTGCTTCACAACTGATTGTCAGTCTTAGTCACATGTTCTCGGATCTGGCTTGCCTAATTTCTTGCGATGGCATCGCGGTTGAACCAGGAAAATAGTAGAGAGACTGACGCAACTGGAAGCCCCTTCAATGTGTTTCGGAAATTTGAACCGAGCTGTTCGTTAGGGAAATTTGATGGCGTTCCTTGCTACCTCGTAAATATTACTGACAGTCTAGTAAACTTGTTTAGTATGCGCAAGAGAAGAACATATTTTAACTTCTTAACCTATACCCCATATTTGTGGAAAGTGTTCACATTAGGTTTGATAAATTGCTGAAGAACACGTGATTCATGCGTATAAGCCGTCGACTATATCTCATATTTACTGCAGAATACTCTGTTCTAGTTATGACTAAACTGCAAACGGAAAAGGTTATTGTTCAGTTTAGTGTAAAAGGCCTTTCCATGCATGTTCAGATTTCACTTATATTACTGGGCAGAGTAGATCAATTTGACGTTCCCCTGTTCTGTGCAGAACGAGTAGCTGAAGATGACGATAGTATTATATTTATATCAGCAAATAAACTGGTGCCACTCATGTGATGAGTTGCATGCCATTAAGTACAATGGGTGAAGAATATGAGCATAAGTATTACTGGACAGTGAGAAATGTTATTTTCGAAAAACAAAAGAGGTCAGATGATGATGAGATATTTAGGAAAGTAGAGAACATTCTTGACTGTTTTCTCCCTGCTAGATTCTTCTTCCAGCCTGAAATGAGAAAGCAGGTTATGTGAAGTAGTTTTCGGTAATTAGTACAACTGTGTTGCTCGTTATTTATTAGTCGTAACTTGATGAACACAATGCTCACTATCTGGCATTAGGAAGTATTAGGAATACCTCTACTGGAACAAACTATATCCGGTAGAACTAAACTTCAGTGACAGTAAACCTTGAGGACAACGAATCAAGTTGGGGATGCTATGTTCAGGGTCATTTGTTACGCCTGTTTAGTGTGTTGCTGACACCGCAGGAATTTTTGATCAGTTATGGCGATGATTACGGTGCGGGTTGGGTGTGAAATTTAATACAGTTGGCAATGCGGTTGAAATAGATGGGAGTTTGTACAGAAGCGTGAATATAACCTAAGAAGACGACTTAGACAGGAATAGACAAGTTAAATACACATAACTTGACAGACCACAGATTCTCAGTGTATACGGAGAGATGACATTTCAGTGAATAATCTAGATTATCGCAGTTATCGAAAAATGCGTGGCATTGGATAACACGATCGCATAAATTAGCATTCACAGATGCTTTGAAGTCGGTAGTGTTTCTGTCTGAAATGGGTTACCCATATCAAGCTATTGTTTACAAGAAGTACTTCGTTGATCGAACAACTGAAGAGCACACAAACAACTAATAAAATGTGTAGAGTCATCTTGAAAAGACCATCAATGGGAATCCTAGGTGGAATGGTGGATTGTCGTATGGATGAGTGGCATCACAGACTGTGGCATGTTTTCAAATATGCCAAACCCGTTGAAAATCTAGATATCATTCATTACTTATCATGTGAAATCGATTTATAGAGTGCAAATAAGTTAATGTGAGAGAAACGTAATTCAGTGGGTAGTGCGTTTCCACTGTGTGATACATGCAATCAATCAACTGAAGTAGAAAGTAACATTTTCCCTAATAGTAACGCTGTCCTTCATATTCTTCATTCTGATTGGTCATTGCAAACTGGGATATGACTGGTCGTCGTTAAAGTTTAGTTCTACCCTACATGCATTCAGCAGGCGACAGTTATGAACAGAAACCGAAGGATAGCAGCCTTCTCGTATAGCATAGACTATGAAGAGGATTTTTCCAAATAACAATTACTTACCCAGTAGCATCTTGGACAATGCTCAGTTGGTGGTGGAGGCCAACGAAAGTTGTCCTGGTAAGTAGAAACAATCACTTCGACATGGAAACATTCATTCACATGTCACCAAAGATGAAACTAGGGCTAAAATAAATAGACTAAATTAAATTGACTGAATAAACCTCTAGATCGCTTCCAGATGCTCAAGGTGTTTTATGTTTTGTTTGAACGAGCATGCATCCGAGCAGGCTTCGACGTCATTTCGCGCTCCCTTTGTGCTGGTTAACACGCACATACTCAGAGTCCCTAATTCAGGCATACTAGCCTGATGAGCTGAATAATCTTTCCCCCTCATAGTTGCTGTCACATTTATTCTAATTAAATATATCGCTCTTTCGAATGTTTTCCTGAATACCAGTCATTTTGATTTGTGTTTTGTGATCAGTACTTACACGTTTGGTGAGGTACTGGTTGAGCAGGTACTAGAGCACACCGAGTTAAGTAGGGTTGGTCTAGCGTTACGTAATAGTAACACAGCCAGCACTTCTTACACTGTCTTCCCATCTCTCACTCCTGTTTCGACAGTTATGATTCCACTTTCTGTAAAGGGGCGCTGATGCAAGATGTTCCATTTGATTTATACAGCCTTTCTGAATAATCTCGACATTGTGAAAGTTGGTGCTGTGGTCTAAAGTTATAGCGTGTAGAGAGATGGCTGAAGTGTTTTCCAGCTTCCACAGCTCCACTGGATTCCTGAGGGATCGAGTGGAAACTTTACCCAATTCTCTGTTTCGCAAATGAATCTTGCCGGATGACTGCTCAGTTGAAGGATCTTCTTGACATTTTTCAGTCCCCTAACTCCTCCACTTTCATCCGTAATTAGCGTGCATGCCCTCCTGAACGAACTGGAGGGAACAAACACTTTCTCACTCAGAGGACGCGATGAACTGAAAACTAAATATCTTTTTCGAATATTCATTGCCTCTACGTCTAAAACAACAACGAAGGAATTGCGTACAGTTCACCGTGAACCGTTTCTTCCTACCTAAACTGAATAGCCGTTCATTGAGAAATGCAAGCACCGGAATAGTGTACGTCACATCTATCCAGTGCCCCAGTTTTCTTGAACCATGAAATGCAAACTCAGCTTGGATATCTTTACATCCTTCCTGATCCAGCAAGGCAAACATTTGGTTAGTGCCGTGGATGATGCTACTCAATGCGCAGAGTGAAAACAGTGATATTCTGAGTCTAGTCAACCATGTTACTTTAAATAAGGTGACTTCACTCGCGTAATCGTGTGCAGATACGTTGTTATGAATTCACAAGCTACATATTGAATTTTTATGTAGATGCCAAACAATGGATAGATTTAGTCGGATGAAGAATAACAAATAAATAAAAACTCACGGATATCCTTAAAAATTTATACTAGATTTAGGAAAAATCGAATAAGAAGACAGTTGCAGTACAAGTAAGACATTTGTCCCTAAGTAGTTAAGTAAATGAATCACTTCTTAGCTCCAACAACCTGTTGGAATGATTGGTGCATGACTCAGTGTGAAGAGATGACCTGTAACAAGGGTCGTACAAATGGGAATAGAGATCAAAACGCGAATGTCGTCTTCAAACTGAGGTGGCGGGTGAAGACATCAGTAGGTGGAGCAGGAAAGCGGTAAGGTCGTCAGCATATAGCATCAACGTCAACCGTGGATTTGTCGGACACAATTTATTGTCCGTAGTCATAATAAGAGAACTCCACAACCTTGAGATGGGTTGTATGTAGATCTAATTTTCCAGCCCCCTTTGTGATGTGCGTAGTCGGTCACTGTATATATTCGGAACGGCTGTTACGGTCGAGCTCTTCGCTATGTTCCTTATCCTAATATTTACTGAGTCAGCAGTCTTCACTCAACTAGATTCTGTGGTTGGATAGCTCAATCGACTCTGGTTCACTACTTTGACCTTTGTGTTTGAACTCGCAAACCTTGCAAGAGATTTGGTCAACTAAACTATTCTGCTGAATCGAATCAGTGGGATTGTTCAGTCTATAAGGCTTCTTTCTCTGTGGGTTTGTAGTTCTACGTTTCTCTCCATTCACTCCCTTCTTGATAACTCTTAGTAACACCCCTGGGATAATCATAATATTAACACTTCCAATAATCAGACATCATCCATTTGCTCAAATATGGTCTCGTTCATCATCTCGTGATATACCGACTGTATACTTTCAGGATGCCACCGAATATAGCACGAAGATCCTGAAATTCCAAGCATTTTACCCCGCAGATATATGTGCTAAAATCTTGGTGAAGATGACATGAACAATGTCTCGTTAGAAGATTTGGGAAGAGCAAAAGCAGCTTCACATTAAACTTGTAACTAACTATGTGTTGTACACCTATCATCAAGCTGTTTGTGTCGATAACCATCGAACTTATTGGGTGTTGAACAATAATCAAAGTGATTACGGTAACTTGGTTCAGAGTCAAGGCGATCAATTGTTAATAAACACATTTCAATTTGATGTAATTTTGTTTAGTGGCACGCTGTTCGTCGATGCATAGTGATCACTTCATAAGGATGCATTCATAAACGGTCAACTTATAAAGATGTATCGCAAAGCGTTGCTGTTAATCGTCTGGAAGGCAGTGCAGACGATTCTTGATGGGGAGTACTGTTTGACGATACTCGGGACTGAGGGGTGAATGAAGAAGTGTCATTGATATGTCATTCATTTACTTACACAGTAACAGACCATACTCATGGTTTTAAATTCAACTCTCTGAAGATTGTCATTATTCTGTAAGAGATGTATGGAAGAAAATACACAAAATGTTAACGTAAATCAGGTGAACTCAACCATTGGTGTAGACCATCTGATGAGAACAGATGTGAACATCCATCACACTTTTACTTTTTAGACTGAACCTCTCATTTGGTCGCTGAGAGAGAAATATCCTATTGTCGAATTCGGAAGGTGGAACATATTTTCATTACATATCTCACTCAAACAATGCGACCATTGACCAGTTGGATTTGACATTGAATAAGGAAGAGATCGGGTGAATATTACGCGTAGTTGCGCATCATAGAATAAGAAAACACAACAATAAAACTGCAACTAAACAATAGATATTGGATTCAACCGTGGGAACAGATCTGGTGAGGATATAGACAACAGCTCTGAAAATAACGACTGTGGCCAAAGACAGGAGATTAATGAAAACCTTCATCCTCTAACTACTGAAAATGTCACAACAAAAGAGGATGGGTGTAATTTCAATGGTTATTGAAGTTGTCAGAACAGTCACTGTCTACAATGAACTACTATTTAGTTGGGAAAAGCGAGAACCACAATAATGGAAAGAAAAGCAGGCAAACGGTGACGGATAGGAGGATGAAACCCTTCTTGTTAGACACCAACGATATCAGACAGCTACAAGATTTGGCTCATTCATGAAAGTGTTAGACAACCACTAACTGAAGGGGAATTCAGTATAGCAGTTAAGCAAACAGATGCGAAGAAAACTGAGGGATCATTTGGGAGTTATTTGTCAGACAAGAAGAACAGTGGCGGATGACGACCACTGTTCTGGTGTTGACCAGCTTTCACGACCGAACAAAACTACATGTGGCAGACATTCGAATAGAGTCGACAGCTGGTTTCTCCAGGAAGCATCGTTCATTGTCAAGTGAATTATACGAAGAACTCACACACTTGGTCAATGAAAATGTACATTCAGTCAGCCTGGTAACTTAGTTTCTCGACAAAATGAAAGAATTGGAGGTGGATGGTTTTCACAGTCCACTTCAATGTACCCAAATCTAGTCGGAGAGAGCATGGAAATTCTCGTGAACAGCAACCGAAATCATTCGGAATATGCGAAAATCAATCTTCCGGAATTAGTGATATACATTATG